CGCGCGAAAAAAGACCTATTCTGACTGGTTCAGCAGTTCATTGCACATCACGGCGGACAACAGTGGCCCCGCGCCATTCCGGTCCTTGATTAAATCACATGCATGTTGGTATCCCGCTTTCTTTCCGTTGTGAACGCAAATCAAATCCCATATGTCTGCGTCATGCGATTGTTGGGCCTGGCTATGGACGCCTCATCGACGAGCTGCAACCTGCCGAGCGAGCTGGGTGTGGAATTCAAATCACACACATAGTCAAAAGCATACGCTGAAATACAAGAGCCTCCCAAGCCACACTAGATTCCGCCCGGCGGCTGCTTTGGCATTCTCGGACCTGATCACAAACTACACAACGCAGATTTCCTTACCAATCTGACTCATCCTGAAACACGCGGATGAGGACACGGCATGAGGTTCATCACCATCTTGCGCACGTGCTGCATAACATGTGACCTCGGGCGATGCAGCTAATCCATTCCTGTACGCGCACCTCAATTCCACAGTAAAGCTGCATGCCTAGAATCGTGGACAGGGACCCACCGGAAAGGTTTACGAAGTGGTGAACTATGGTCAGGGAAGTGCTAACTATCCAAGAGGCGGTTGGCTTCCAGATGTTTTCCAATGAAACACTTGGCCCAACAGTGAACAACACTGACGAGATTACTTTATGGATTTTTCCCGCGCACTTCCATTCCACCGTGCAATTCACTCAAGCGCAAAAAATTGGATATTGAACTCAATCACAAACACTTTAATTATCAAGTATTTTCCGCCAGATCACGGACTCCCCACACTTCATGAATATTTCCGGGGGAGCGCAATCTTCAACTGTACGATGCACAGGCCCTGTCCATTTCAGCTGCACTACATCTCAAAGCTCTTAGCCGAAGGATTCACGGGATCACGATCTGGAACTCTACAGTTTGTGCAGGCCCCACCCTCTATCATCCCATCTGACAGCTGCAAACGACCAGCCAGCTCAAACCCCAATGTAAAAAACCAGGCCGTCTACAGGGCAAAACTTGTTGCAGGCAGCCAGCGCCATCTGGAGCTTTACACTCAGCGAACAAGCGGCCCGTCCGCAAGAAGTCCAAACTGGAAGTCACGCCGTCTGAGGAGCAGGAATCTGAACGAGAAGCCACACGGTCGGCAGAGGAAAAATTGTTTGAACTGGAAGCCATGCCGTCTGTAGAGCAAGCGATGCCGCTGGCTAGCCCTGTCTTCTCTATCAGCTTCTCCCGTAACATTGATAACAGCAGTGAAAAATGTGCATTGGCTTGTGAGGTCAGATTTTATAGTACGCTAGGACCGCTAGGACGCAGCTTCAGCCATATTGACGCATGACCCTTTGGGACAGCACATGTCAGGGAGCGAAAAGGTAATCTCATATTATTGAATGTTTATTTTGTGTTTTTTTGTTTTTTTTCGTTTTTGGATCATGCCTCTGGTTTTTTGTTTTTTGTATTTTTTCTCTGGTTTTGGTTTGGTGCTTTCGGTTTGTTGCCTTCTGCTTGTTGCGTGTTGCTTCTTGTTCCCCACCCTCGCAGTGGGGTTGTTAGACTTCAAAGTAGATGTTGTCCTCGCCCAACTGGAAGCTGACTTTAGTGACCAACCACCAAGTATCCCTGCAGTGACCAGCCACCACGTATCCCTGCAGTGCCCACTGTG